GACCCGTCTGGAGGCAGAGAGGAGCAGTGTGTCAGTTCCTAAGACCATCCTAAATGTTTCCCAATAGTCTTAGGCGACCCCTGTGAAAGGGTCATTCAACCCCCAAAGGGGTCGCAACCCACAGGTTGAGAAGCGCTGCTCTAGTGGATGCTGACTCAGTGACCCAACCCTGTGGGTTTCCGAGACTTAACTATGGGTGTAGAACTGCCAGCCATGTGGATCACAGCGTAACGCGTAACTACTACACCACCAGGGCTCCTGCATCTGCAAGGTAAGCAGTTGAAAAATCACCAGCTGTTCCTTGAGAGAAAGAGCTTTGGGGCTTTCCACTCCCAGAGTTAAAATCTCACTCACAGGGGCGTTCTCCCTTGTGAGGGTCCTGTATGTGAGGGTATGCTCGTGCCCCCTCAGGTGGCACCTCAGTGCACCTGTGGCCACCATAGAGCCCTGTAGAGCAAGGCTCCCAGGCAGCTGTGGAGGAAGGAATGCGGTTCGGGCTGAGTAACCAGGGCAAAGGCATGAAGATGTTTTACTTTCATTTTAACCTCTTCTTGCTTTTGAACAAACTGATGGTGTGCAGTCTGGTCATAGCATGTTAAGCATGGGACTACAGAAAATTTATGAGCGCAAATGTAATATGGGAACAAACTTGTGAAATTGGCCAAGATTAGTTCTATAGCTTACACAGATGTGGGCTGAGAAGATAGAACTAGAATCTATGAACCATGATTATAGATAAAAGGCCTACCTCTAGTTGACTCATAGTGTCCCTTTAGTACAATTAGGAACTCCCCATTTGGTTTCCACCATAAATCTTGCAGTTTTTTTCACCATGCATCTTTACAAAAGCAGACTTGTCTTTATCCTGAAGAGTGGCTAGTGGTGGGTTCAAACCGCCAATCTTTTGGTTGGTAGCCAAGCACTTAACCACTGTGCCATAGGCTCTTTTCAAGAAAACTAAGCCAAACCCACTGCCATCAAGTGGGTTCTGGCGAGCCCTGTAAGACAGAGTAGAACTGCTACCTAAGGTTCTGAGGCTGTAAATCTTTATGGACTCTGCGTCCTCTTCCTCCCTCAGAGCGGCCGTTGGGTTTGAACTGCTGACCTCACAGCAGCCCAATGTGAAACCCAATCCTCCCCCAGCACTCCGAGGTAGGTTAGTTTACTATAAATATATATTACCAAATGACAAAATTCCCTATTTCGGAGAGCATCGTTTCCTAAAAGATGTTGCCTCCAACAGGGTCGCCTGGGTAATGGAACTCCTGGGTAAGCATCCCTTTGGGATGGTGATAATCTTGTTCTCCATGGAAAACTACTACAACTATCTCATTTCCTGAATCTAAACCCAGCAGGGGCACTCTGTTCTGTGGGCGTCTTTGTGAGTCCGGATGACTCCAAGGCTACAGTGTTGGCATCAGTGGAAACCCAATGTAACAGTGGGAAAGAGTCTACTCAGCTGGCGAAGTTCCCGACTGGCGTAATGAAAATTCTATTTGTGGCAAATACTCACACGAACGAAGGGGGAAAAAAAGATTTCCAGATTTTTATTTCCGGAGCTGTACACCAGGTATTAAAGTACAACAAATACAAAATAATGCTCAAAAAAATCAGTGTTTATGTACAAATATTAAAATCAATGCAATAGCAACTTCCTCTTGAACATCTGATACTAAAACTTGTTCTGATTGTCACTAATTTATCTCATACTCACAGGGTACTTATTTCAAACTGGGACAATTGGAATCACTGGTCATCTAAGAAGAATATTAATATCTACCATATTTAACAATAAAACTAATAGTTTCCTCCTTTTAGTGAAAAAATTAGGAACTTTTTAAAAAACATAGTAATGTCAATATCTTTATAAATTATTTCAATTTCCATTTGTAGACAATGTGCTTTGAAACTCTGGGCAAACAATCTCCTTGGTTGTCAGGTTTACTTGTTAGTTTACATTCAAAGTTGAAATATTCACTAAAGACTTTGGTTAAATTAAATAGTATCACTATGCTCTATTAGATCTGACGCGCTCAAATATTTATGACCCTCAATTTTAAAAATTAAAAAGAAACAATTGCACAATTCCTTTTAAAAATTAAAAAGGAAACATGTGACCTAATTGTACACACTTTAGTATTTTTTAAGCAGTATTCTACATCCTTCAAGTAAATTCAGCAGTTGACCATGACAAGAGGAAAACTAAACATATAAAAAGCTAGAATGAAAAAGATGAAGTCTGACTAAAAAAGTAAAAGTATTGCTATAATCACAGCACCAGTTACGTTTCTAAATGAATACGTTGCCTCTGTAAATTCCCTGTACATAAAAGATACATCAGCCAACACTGCAATTGCTCACCATGGATTTTTGGTTTGTTCATATGAAAATAATGTGGCAAAGGAAAAAAAAAAAAGAATTCATCACAGTTTGTTATAAGAATTGTGCTTTAACACTTGATAATAAAGGCATTAGTTTCTTCATATGATTGCAAATTGGCTATTTCATGCTCTCGACTTCAATTCTTTTAATAAACAGTAACAAATTCTGTTGAAATTCTCAAACCGAGGGGGGGGACAACAAAACAATTAACCAGTAAATCCCGCTTTTAAAATAAAATTCAATAAATAGCTATTTTACATGGATAAAGTTATAGTGGTACAATTATGAACGTCACATCAGGCATGCACAAAAATGGTATTATACATGGCAGGAGTAGTCAGAAAATATTGAATTAGATCTAAAAAGATATGAAGAATTTACACCTATATACAAAAATCTTGCAAATTATTGCCTCATTTTAACAAGGAATTAAAAGTAAACATCACCAGCTAGCTAGCACTCTCTAAGAGGCTAAAATCAGATTGGCATTTAAAAATCTATTAAACTAGCTGGAATTTATTTTTCTCCCATACCATTTTCTGGATTTTGGTCAAAAATCTTTATTAAATAACTAAAGTGTCCATTCAACTTGCTGATAATCCAAATGTTAGATAAGAAACACCGTTTCCATCTTATATCAAGATCCCAGCAATGCATAGATAAACTGAATATATTACTGCATCAGCTTCTGAGAATGGGCATGTTCATTTAAGTGCAACTGGTATTAGCATTCAGTCATCTTTGTGTAAATTATTTTATACAAACCAGCCACTGCAAACCCACAGTCAAAAGTAAAGTTACAACAATGGAAGAGTATGGCCAGTATCTTACTAAATTACAGAAAATGTACTGATTATTAACATAAGAAATAAAGTTTCAAAGTTTAGCACAACAACACAGCAATAAGAAGCTGACAACTTGGATGAAAATCTCAGAAAGCCACGCAGGTCCCAGGCTACCCATTATTTACTGTGTGCATATAAGAATGCTAGACTTTTAGGTGTATAAATTAGAGACTGATTTTTAAGTTATTAATTTAACCAATTTTGTCCACTGTGCTAAAAATTAAATTTGACAGTAAATGTGCTACTGCGTAAACACTTCAAAGCAATCTTCATTAAAATGCTGCAAAGGGAAACAAGGATACACATCATCCAAAATGAAGGATGTCATTGCAGTTCACAGTTTGTAGAATAAATACCCTCCCTTTCAATCACTACTAAGGTTACTACATCCTATCTACTCATCAGCACAACCTTGAAGCGACTTATACTTACAAGTATCAGCAATGCAGCCAAACACTTAGGTTTTTTTGTAAAGCAACACAACTACTAAAAAAAAATTTATCAAGATGGTGCAAAAAAAAAAAGTAAAAGTAAATTGTTAAGTATACTATAAAAAACAAAGCTTATTATATCCTAATACTGTATTGTTGGAGTTTAGCTTACAACTTAAAGATGCACTTCTATAGAGCAAAGTGGCCAAAATTTCTGACGATGGCTTCTTGGTTCACAATGTTCACAAGAATAAAAAAAATTAGGTCTGAGATGCATCTGAACACCTGTCACCTTTTAAAACATCAAGTGGTAGAGTACCATTCTAGTTCAGATAAGAACTCACATTTTTCTTGCCAAATGTTCACGAGAAACAAAAAAAGGCTTAAATAGACTTCAAGGTTCTACTGCATCATGTGTACGAACTACACGTCCCTCCTATATACGAACCCTTTGAACTGCAGCGCTACAAACAACTGAACAGGTGCCCCCGAATGCAAGCCACTGAATGGCAACACCCTAGGCTTTCTAGACTGTGCATCCACCAGCTGACTGCTTCAGGATAAACAAAATTAGACAAGGACCGGTATTGATTTGCAAGATTACAATCTTGACAATGGTGGACAAACCCCAATCGGAACACCACATCTTCAGAGGTCAAATGTTCAGTGAATACACGAAGTGAACACAGAAGTCTTCTGGCAGTAAGATGACCCGTTCTGTGTAAGGTAGCCCTGGTCGAAAATTTTGAAACAGGATCCAAGCAAGCGTCTTCGTATTCTACACACACGCAGTTCCTTGTGCTGGCTTCCATTCAGGTGGACTTGCTGCTTTGTAAACAGAAGTGCTCTACTTGAATAATGTAAGAGAAGGGTCCATAAAAATTTTTTTTTAAATCCTTGCATGTTTGTGCAGTTTAAAGAAACCCACCCCTGCTTTTATGTAATCAGGAAGAAAAATAATAATAATAAAATGCTACATTGAGCAGGGATCGAGATCGGTACCTGTAAACATTGTTATCCCACTGCATCCATTCCGGCAAAAGGAATTTACAAGAAAAGAAGCCACTCCATTCCGTTCAGAACTTCTGTGCTGGTTTTGAGCTGGTGGCCTGTCTACAGGTTTTCAGTTGGGAGCGAGGGCCGTGGAGAACAGAAGAGAACAGCCCAGGAGCAGGACGAGGTATGTGGGGCAGAGGGGTGGGATGAGGAAGAGAAGCAGAGCTTAAAGCTGCACCACAGAGTTCAATCCTAGTTCCCAACTCTGCTGATCACAGTTCATTTCCACATTTATGGATTGAAAAATGAAAATACTCTTGATAAACCAAGATAAAGTTCTATACATACTGACATCACTGATGTCATAGTGAAAAAGGTTCAAACTTCCAGTGAAAGACTAAGCAAACCTGATCGTTGCTCCCCTCCAGCGTCCTGGGCCTGCACCCCAGCCGTCACTCGGAGTGCAGGGCAGCGTGCTGGTGCAGGGTGTGGGCACTGATGAAACCATTGGTTTCGCTGGCAGAGAGATTGCTGAAGTCAGCCACAGAGACGGCCATTTTGGCACTGGTGATGCGATGCGTGTGATTCTCAAAGTCCACGCCCAGGTTACTTACAGACACTTCATTCATAAAGGACTCGGGGACGGCAATGCCCATCTTCAATCGCTTTGCGGGTCTTTCCGAGTCTTCGCTGCATATGTTCATAGGGTTTAGCTCTGAGGGATAAAATCCAGTCTCAAATAAATTAAAACAATCACTTTCCCCGCTGCTGGGCAGGGTGAGTAACTCTTCCGTTACAACAGGCACATGATTGACTTGTCCCCGGGGGGCACTGGCCAGTGGGGGGAAGCTATCATCCAAACAGTTCACCTCCGCGGGGTTGCACACAGTCGCTACGCTGTTGGTCAGAGCTGCAGAGAAATGGAAAGTGGCCTCAGTAAGTGGTCCTGGGTCAGGATCCCAAAGGACATCGAGCGGCATTGGTTTTACCTGTCAAGTCGCTGGCAGTGAAAGAGTTCAGGATGTTCAGGGGCTGGTCAGGGATGGGCTCAGGTCGGTTAGAGGTTAAGGCTGAAGAATTTACTGTCCCACCCAGAGCTTCTGTCTCATCTACCAAACGATCCATGTAGTCCCTGAAAAACACACCCCACAGTTGCAGGACAGCAGATCACCGCCAACGGCCGAGTCCCAGAGTGCAGTCTGCGCTACTTACGTGACTCCGGGGTGATGGTTGTACCGTTTCTTCCCAAATCTGGTTTGTTGAGCGAAATAATCGTAACGTTCAGATTTCTTCCACATATAGTAGAATGCCACACACTCAGCAACCGATCGAGTCCTCACCTGACAATTTTAAAAAACGGAGGGTTTTGTTTATAAAATAAATGTGCACTTTGACTAAAACTCCTAGAACACTGGAATCATGCTGCCTTTTCTTGACTGAACTGGATTATTCTGCCTGCGGCCGAGCTTCTTAAACTGATGGGAACCAGCCCTGCAGGAGCCCTGGTGGTGGAGTAGTGACAAGTTGGGCAGTTGGAAACCACAAGCAGCTCCACGGGAGAAAGACAGGACTTTCCACTCCCACCAACAGTTACCGTCTCAGAAACCCACCGCGGGCCACTGTGAGCCAGCACCGACTCGATGGCAGCGAGTTGGGTTTTGGTTTGGAGAGGTCTGTAATACACTTCACAGGGCTTATCACCTTTGGAAAACGGGGTGCATCAGATTCTCAAAGGGTCCTGTGACCCAAAAGCGGTTAAGAACCCTTGGCAAAGGCATCAGCATGCAGTGCATCTGGGACTTCTGAGAATTTGCTAGCCAAAGGCAGGGCTTTCCCCTTCAACAGGTATTTGCCTCTGAACTCCAGCAGAGCTTCATAGGAACAGTAAAACCTGAGGCTCGTCAACCGGGCTTCCACACACACAGTAGGGGGCTTCTCTAACCACCTACAGCCCTCTGCATTCAGATGTACATTCTGTATCAGACAAGAAGCATTTTCTCTCCTGTTTAATCAGTGCCTAGTAAGGAAGCTACCAATCTCTATGCTCATGAGTGAGCATTTTTAAAACAAGAAACACAGTCTACCTTTGAGTAAACATCATTAGCTCTGAGTCTTTTCAGACTGTGGGCTTCCCAGGAGGAGAACCTTTTCTATTTGGTCTGCTGGTCTATATTGCCCACTGCCACGCCTGATCCAATAGTGGGACTTAATTATTTATGGACGCAGAGGATAGAGTACATTTCAGGGTCATTACACAACTGGTTCCTTTTTGACTTCAAAGGCCAACCCAAATTCTAAAACTAAAGTTTTCTGTATTTATTAAGCATTTTACTCATTGTTGAGAGTGTTTTTTCTATATATACAAAAGCATAAAATACCAACCTACCCATCTAAATATTTCAGAACTTTGCCTTCCTCTAGGATGAAAGGGATAATAATCAGTATATTTCCACGAGACCTAACAGTTCGAAAGGAATCAGAATACATTGTTGTTGTTGTTTTCAGAATACATTTTTCCAGTTGCTCATAGGACCGATGTTGCTTTTTTTCAGCAACTACAGGTCTTACTTCGGAAAAGAAAGATTTTTGAGACCACAGCCTCTGAGCACTTTGGAAGAAAGAAAAGCCAAGGCAGGAGAGGAGTACGACTTCCAGAAGCACCGTGAACCCACCTTCTGGGAGCAGAAGAGTGTAGCGCAGCACGTCACAGCCGCGTACCGTGTGTCAGCGTCCTCACAACTAGAGCAGTATGGGCGCGTGGAAGGCAGGGGGCACTAACCAGTAGTTGCTCCCCAGGCTCCCATCCCCGCCCCCACTACTCTAGGCAACAAGGCAGTGGCTTATAAATTAAGTGCTCAGACTCATTTTAATTACTTTCCCAGTTTGCTTAATAATTTGCCTGCTAGTAAGGATTTTGAGAAAGGTGCAGGAGGGGGCAACGCTTTGTCTAAGCACAAAGGTACTACCAGTCAGAATGAACTGACGGCAGTGCACAACCATGTGCCTAATAAGGAGTCTTGGTGGTGCCATGGTTACTCGCTCAGCTGCTTCCTCCAGAAGGTCAGCTGTTTGAACGTATCGGCTGTTCCTCAGGAGAAAGATGCAGCCGCTTCCTTCAACAAAAACACCCTCTTGGTCGTTATGAGTCCACTGACTGAATGGCAACAGATTGTTAAGTCGCCTAACACGTACCTTATTCTTCTGTATAAGATGAAAATCTTTCCCAAAAAGCATGAGGGCGTGTTCAAAGCTTCGGCATTCCTCTTCTGTCCATGCAGTCATTCCTTCTAAGGAAATTTCAGAACAAAGTTGATTGGCCACAAAACTCAGTTGTGATTCACTGGCTTTTTCAGTAGTTTTCCCTGTGAAAGGCCATAAACTCACGCACATAAAAGGCTTCTCTACTTAGATATACATCTTACCAAAAAACTTACAATACCAAATATAAATTCTATACTTTTGTTTTTTTTCTGCAGAGTAGAATTAGATTTTAATGTGTTCTGCTTGTTGAGTCTCCGATCTTTTCAAACAAGGCGTAAATATTACTTTTAAATGGGGGTGGGAGGGGGGCAGTATTTCCTTCATAAAAGTAAATAAAGCCTTTATTAAAAACTGGAAGTTCTTTAATTAGAAATTGTGTGCTATCAATCATATTAAATAAAGTACAGTGAATATACATTTATTTAGGGTCAGTGTGTGAGTGTTATGCCGGAAAATCTAGAAACCTAACAGGGATGAGAAATAGAAATAGTTCATGCTCTCAAAAGACTAAATCGCATTCTACTTCCTGGCAGATGTTAACACTGGGAATCTGAACAACCACTCAAGGCAGCAAAGGAGATGCAGAAGGCCTCCGGAGGGCCCAGGAGTGATTTTATACCTTCCCTTTATTTCTGAACCGTCTCAGTCAATGACGATGGGGGCAGATCCCCAACGTCATCACTGGTTGTCCACCAGACAGGTGAATAGTAAGGGGGCTTCAAAGAGCTCATGAAAAATCCCATTATCTTCTCCATTCTACTTTTCCCGTGAACTTTTTGAAGCCCCCTTATAGTCTGAAATAAGGAAAAAGCAGGAATTTCATTTTAGAGTTTTCAAAGCCTAAAACAAATTTTTAAGCAACAACCTGTACAAGGAAACATGCCAATGCCTATTCTCAACCTACACATTCAAATATGATATTTACAGCTTTTAGACATTTCTAAGTCACTTGTATGACATTATGAAGCATTTTCATGCTACATATTCTTAATGAAAGCTATGGTGCATGCAATCTACTTATATAAGCAAAAAAAGGAAATGAAAAGTTAACCATTTTCTTGGCACATACAAAAAACATAAGCATTATAAAATGTTTTTACATGATTACTACAAATAAAGGTCTTGTTATAAATTCAGTGGACTATAGTACGTGCTTCTTTTTCCTTTTTAAAATTCTTAACCCCCTCTTCATTCACTGTTTGGTTTTAAAAAATAGAAAAGAAAGAAAGAAAACAACTTTTTTCCAATGAAATCATAAAATCATTCTTTTTAATTACTTTGGATATATTGTCATCTCTGGGGTCTGCCTTGTTCTGTAACTATTTCTTCAAGAAAGTGGAGGTGACAGGGGGTTAACTAATTTGAATTTGGACAATCTCTGGCACGTCTAAAAATAGAGGGCAAGAAAAGGAAACAATTATTTGCTATGAAGACGAACATAGATCTTACACAAGTGTTACAGGATCGCTCGGCCCTTTAGTATACTTTACTGATGGGTGCTCCCCAAATGACCAGCCCCTGTCGCCTCCCCCTCTGGAGCCTGAGTGCTTCTCACCTTGAGCAGACTTTCCATTGCAGCAGTACCTGTCGAGCGCTTCCTTAATGTTGTGATTACACTTGAGAAGTTCATATAATGCCTGCGAGAGGGAGTAGAGGGAGAAACAGTCAATAAAAATGACCCCAAGTTTATACTTCACAACATTATCCCACACAGGCACCTTGTACGAATGAATACACACAAAAGCGGGATGGCACATTGAGCTCAGGGCATTTGCGGCACCGGGTTGGGTGGTCCGGGCATTGACACCCCGCCCCCCCCATAACTGTCTTGCAGATTGGCTCTGGCACCGAATGGGTTTGTTCATTCTCACTCCACTTCTCAGAGGTCACCTCCAGCAGTGTTCTTGACTTTCTTAACTGCCTTCTGAGTTGGGCAGCTGGCCTGTTTTAGATGATGCTTCTAGATGTGGATCCTAGCCTCATCTCACTGGCATCTTAAAGGCATCTTCAAAGCCTCTCAGTTTCAGTGTAAGGGAACAGCAGCAACCTGGACTGGCACTTTAATGACAGACCTCAGTTACTGCCATTTACCATGAAAGGTGTTTTTGTGCAATTATTTTAAAAATTAAAAGATCATTTTATTGGGGACTCTTACAACTCTTGTTACAATCCATACATCACTTGCATCAAGCAAATTTGTACATGTTGCTTTCAGTATTTTCTAGACATTTACTTTCTATTGAGCCCTTGGTATCAGTTCCTCATTTTTTTTGCCCCCTCCCTGTGCAATTTTTTAAAAATCATACTTTTTTTAAATTAAAAAAAAATCAGAATATTTTACTATTAAATCTGAAGGTGTGAAACTGTTAAATAACAGAATTCAGTTGAAAATTAAGAATCTACCATGCCAAGGAGGCTTAAGGATGGCCTAGTATTGCTGTTAGGTACCATCACAATGGCTCTAACCCACAGAACCAAACACTGCCTGGTCCTCAAGTGTTCCTCCGCTTGAGCCCATCAATATGAGAAAACCTATCAATATCAATAGGTTATGTTAAAAAGCAATGATCTCAACTGATGCTTTAAGAAAAAGCATTTGATACATCAATAGCTATTTCTAATGTAAAAAAACTGAAGATGTACATAAATTAATACTATCTTAATATAATAAAGGTAGCTTGCCAGCCACTCCAGAGAACAAAGATATGGCAAAGGTTAGATGCAGCTGCTGCCACTGAGTTCATTCTAAGTCACAGGGAGCCAAGAGGGTACACGACTGCTCCACTGGGTTTCCAAAGCTGCCCGTCTCCACTCCAGCAGATGGCATGCCTCTCTGCCACGGAGAGAGGGTGCACTTCGACCCCCCACGGAGTGGCGCTAGCTTTCAACTGCTGCCTTGTGGTTAACAGTCCACAAGTAACCCACTCCATCGGGAGGGCTCTCACTGGCGCCCTGTGACTTATTATAGGACGGGGCAACTGCCCAGTGCGTTTCCAAGGATGTAACTCTTTATGGGATTAACATGCCTTCTCTTTCTCCCGAGGAGGGTTGGTGGTTTCAAACTGCTGACCTTGTAGTTAGCAACACACCTCGTATAACCACTATGCCACCAGGGCTCCAGCAGGCCTCAGCTCACCATTACTACCAAAGGGCTCTGAGCATTTGGTTAATGAAGAGAGCAGATCACAGGAACAAGGGAGAGTAATGATAAGGAAGAAACAACAAGTATCACGTGGTAATGTTGAAAACTAGAAAACCTACAGAAACAGCTGGAAAAAATCATCACGATACTTGTTTCAATACATTAGTTTGTGTTTCAATACATTAGTTTCAATAGTCATGAGATAATTGTTAAAAAAATCAGTTACTTCTTCATTAGCAACGTAATTATAAATGAAGTACAGCGCTCATTTATAACAGCATCAAATCTGAAGAGGCTTGAAAAAAATTGTGGAAAAATGGAATTAAAATATAATGAAATTTTCTATAAACTTTTTGAAACCCTCTCATACATGCTATCTCATAAGCTAGCAAAGAATTAAGTTAATGAAATACTTGTGCTGTTGAAAAGGAGAGTCAGACCATGTTCCTTAAGTAGGAGGCTTAACGCTTTTTATAGGTGATGCTAATTCTCCCCAAAGTAATTTATAAACTTCAATATCAACACCAAAACTCAATGACTTTTCTTTCTGTCAGCTGACAGTACCGGGAAGTGAGGCTAGTCCAACAGCTTTGTTATTTGGGAATACAACTTAGGTAGATGCGCCGGGGTCACCTACGATGGGAAAAGGTACCAAAACGGGATCAAAGGAAGTCAGGAGGCAAACCAGGCACATTTCAAAACGGGACTTTATCCTGGTGATTAAATACTGGGCTGCCAACCAAAAGACTGGCTGTCTATACCCACCCCTGCCCGTCCTCTCGGGTGACCGTGGACTTGACCGCAATGGGTTTTACAACAGGCAATCAGACTCCCACCTCCCACACCACATGCTGTCAAAAGAGTTACACAGCTCTCCCTCATTTTGCTGCACTTTGCTTTACTGCCCTTCTATTTGTTTACTACATTGGAAACATCTAATAGCAACAACTGACGCCCCGCCCACCCAAAGCCTGAAGAGCCGCAGTGGCACGCAGGGGCACCGTGCTCCCTCGCCAACCCTGTCCCCCCGGGCAGTATGGCATCTCCATCTCATTTATTTTCCCACAATGCTGTTGGATACTAATATGAAACCTACTGCTATCGAGTTCTTTTTCACACTGGAGAGACAATTGTGTAATGTAAACATCTTTTACGTGCACTAAAACAAAACAAACTCCTACAACTCTGTTTGCTTTACCGCAGTGGTCTGGAGTCGAACCCATGGTATCCCCGAGGTCTGCTCTAATATCTGTAGTAGACTTGAGACTGCATGAACAAACTGATATTTAGAGTGAGATCAAAATTATGCCCGTATGTATTTTAAAAAAGACGAGAAGAAAAGATATGACATTATCACGAGTGGTTACTTCTCAAGTTACACCTGATGGGGTTTTTGTTTGTTTGTTTGTTTTTGTATGTGTGAAGAAAGTAATTTGAATTTCTTTCTTTTTTTTGAGCCTGATGGTTTTTTAACCAGTGTTTTCTATGTTGTAAAAATCTATCGGAGACATATAACTCACAAGTGAGTCAAAATACTAACAAATCATATTTCAACAAACTTTGCTGTTGTTTTACCAAAACTTGAAGTTTACCTGTTCGTTGTCCCTTGTGTGTGTTCCTGCAGAAATCCGATCCACGACTTTTTCATTCCCAGTTCTCAATGACGCCTGGACAAGGTACTCCTTAACTTTGCTCTCCAAAACCACCCCGGGCCGCCACAGTAGCTGGTCTTCAGCGTTCTCATACACTGGGAAAGAGCACTGCATGTAGTGAGCACAAACACACCCCTGCTTTTCCTCGTCATGTAAAGGGCACAAACACTTAGCTATCAAGTAGAACCTTCTATTAGTCAAACTTAAAAATACATACACATACTTTTAATGTTATTTTGGGCCAAGGGTTCTTGTGGTTAGAGAAAGTACCTGTTTTTGTGGCTGGATTTACTGACCTATCAGAAAGCTTTACACATGCCTAGTAGCATCTGACAGGAACATCAGTTGTGTCTTATATTTTTCTAATAAAGAGGTAACAAATAGCTCTTCAGGGTATAGATTATGTAATAAGCTCATTGAAATGCTCTCTTGATTACCTAAATCATCTAGTACCATTGAGCCACTATTGGTTCATAGCCACCCTACAGGACAGGAGTTTCCAAGACTGTAATTCTTTACAGGAGTAGAGAGTCCTGTCTTTCTCCTGAGGAGCTGCAGGTGGTTTTGAATGGCCAACCTTGCAAATTGCAGCCCAAGGCACAACCACCAGGGTTCCTAATTACCTCAAGAGCTGTATGGTATTCTAAAATTGTGAGCACATAAAGGCAAAAATATTTGCCAAGAATAAAATTACTATTTCATTTCTTATTGATTTATTTATCAATAAAACCACCATTTCATTATTACCAATTTTCTTGTTAAGTATGAATTTTTATTTAAAGGGATAGGAAGCAGTTTAATTAAAGCTCCCCAGCAAGGTTTTGGAAAGAGTAAGTGATGAGAGAAGTCCACTTTCCACACTCTCTGCAAGAGGCTGGTATACTATTAAGCCAGAATCTTACTCCAACGAGGTTTCTGGTGTATCTTCGCTCACTGGGGCCGACTCTGCACCATTGCCAAGAATGGGTGGCCCAACCACTGACCATGTGTTTGTTCAGGGCAGTCCATTCTCTAAGTCTATGGAAAATACTAAATGCAGCTAATACAAGTCATGACTGAGCGTTTTCTGGGTAGCAGGGACTGTAAAGCTTTATGCTCACCAGGCTAAGGAGCAGTGATCGTCCATCCCAGTTAGCAGGAAAGGTAAGAATCAAAAACTGTTCCTTAAAGCCGTAGACTGGTGTTTTTAGAGAAGTCTATGGAGCTGAAACAATTCTTCTCTCCAAGGCGCTATAGCTATGTCCTTGGCTCCAAGGCTGTGGTATTTGGTTGGTGGGCTGAGAGGTGGGGCATCTGAAGCTAGTCAGCTGTTTTAGGCTTAGCTGGGGACAACCATGTCCCATCACTTGGAAAAACTGTTTAGAAAAATAGGTTGCCAAAGCTAGTGTACCCCGAGGGTGCCTACCTCCCCTCTTCTAAATGGGAGCTACCCCGGCATAGAGGAAAAAGAGAGAGCTCAGGGAGTAATAGGTCTGCTGTGCTGCTTCTGCCCGCCTGCCTTTACAGGTCAGAGCTTGCATCAGGGCAAAGCCAAGTACCTGGGGAGAGTCCAACCTACTTGGTCCCTGAGTTCCACTGGGAAAGTGTTCTTGCATTTTACTTCCCACTACAACACAGTCCGCTCCATTCTTTCAGAACTAACTAGAGTTGACCTCTAAGAAAATTGTGAAGGAAAACCGAGTATGCTCAGTTTACAATGTAGGGGTGCACACAGAGGCGGGCATCTTTTATTGCCCTTTTGACACCTGCAGGGGACGACAAAGAAAGTGTTTCCCTATTTCCTTTTTCCTTCAAGCGTTTCCTTTACCAGAAGCTGATAACCTAACATCCCCATGCTCTCAGGTGATGAGAGTTGGCCCTCTTCTGCAGGGGCAGGATGGCGGCCGTGGGGCTGCTGACTCAGAGGAGCGTAGCTGGGTTCACGGTGCTGCGAGGACAGGCTGGGCAGCACTCTACCAGGTGGGTCTCGGATCGGCATGGCCAACATTCCTGCAGTCTCCCTAAGTCAGACTGTGGAAGATAGCTTGCCCTAACCCTATCCAGATACTGCTGAGGTTGGCGTACAATCGGACACTGAAAGAAATGTAACTTGTCTGTCAAACGTTATCAAAACGAAAAGCCTTCCTTACCTGCTTCATCACCATGATATTCTCCGAGATAAGGTGGAATCTCTGCCTGATACTGTAAACCGACCATTATTTCCTACAGGAAAATTTACAAGGAAAAATGATAAACTGTAAAACAAATAAATAACTTTTAAAAGTGTCACTCATTGATCAGTTATTCCAGGCCAAAAGAAACGATCTTGCAACAACAAAAGCTTCTTAAATTAGTTCAGAGATAAGTATTTTTAAAGCTACTTTAATTCAAATCATCTATTAAGTCATGATGGTGACTCAACTTACCTTCCTCAAATCTTCAGGTGAGTTACCACTGTCTGTTTCTACGTCTTCAACCTCTGATTCCTTATCCCCATCACATGTAGTATTTGCTTTTTAAAAGGAAGAAAGATATTTCAAAGAGTTTTTTGGGGTTTGTTTGTTTGTTTTGCCTATTTTTGCAGCCCCTCAGAGTGCATGATAGTCGCTGTATAAGAATGGACGGGGCTCAAGGCGCCAACGTAAACATACTAAATCTCTTGTATTAGTCACGTGTTTCAATATCAGCCAAACAAGACAATGAAAACTCTAGGAAAATGTGAAAGATCCTTAAAATTAAGATGGTGTACAGATAGTAGTTGGCTGCCTTAAAGACAACGGAAAGCACTGGATTTCTGAGTGCTCCAATCCAGAACGATATACCGTAAGTCAATCCAAGTTTTCACGTGTCCACATTCACATTTGAATTTGTTAACTGAATAGTTCTTCCACAATAAAAATACCTCAAAGAAATAAATTTGATTGCGTGTTGGGGGAGGAGTTGTGATTTGAAACTACAGTTTTAATACAGGAAAAAGGATATCAATGAAGAAATGCCTAAGGCGAAGTCTGGGAGAGTTCCCAGTGCAGAGCCTCCAAATCCCCCAGAGATGTGCCACACACACACACACACACCCCCCACGTGCCCGGATGGCTTTCAGCAACAGGGACGGCGGGCGCTGCGCTGCCAGGACTTCTTTTTACATAGTCAAGAGCTGTTCTATTGTTCCTGAAACCTCTTGCGGGGTTACAACACAAAGAACTAGCAAGAGGAGGGGAGAAAAGTATCAAATAGATAAAAAAAGATTAAAAAAAACACACAAAGTAAGTTTTTGAGCACGCTGGTTTTCAAAACCAGGAGAGCAAGAGCTTTTAACAGAAATTCAAAAATGTTTATATCAAATTTTATGGTTGAACTCAGAATGGTTACCATAGTAACAGATGAGTCTTGGGAAGGAAAACAAAGAGCTGTGTAAAACGTCAGCAAACGTGATAATTCTTAAATAGCATGTTAGTTCACCTATAGCCCACCAAAAAGATGGTATTTTACTTCACTTAAGTAAAACATTTTGAAAATATTTTGACACAAACTCTCAAGCGTGGGGACCAAAGCTACCACCAGGAAGCAGATGGGCTCTTACATCGTAAAGGTCGAGGGAAGAAGTCAGAAGTCTCGTGAGACGTCACGGACGGCGTCAGATCGTCGGCAGACGACTGAGTCTCCTCGTCATCGCCGGACAGCAGGTCTTTGGCGATCTCCTCCTGGGCGAAGAGGAAGCAGTGGTGGTTAGAACTGAGGCCGTCAGCCCAGTGAGAAAAGCGTCGCAGTGGCGGTTAGAACTGAGGCCGTCAACCCATTGAGAAAAGCGTCTTCTCAGTTGAGGGGCCCTTGGTTTTGAGAAAAATACATTTAAAATTCACCTATGATTTATTTCCACCTATAAATGTAGTTAGTCATTGATAGTTGGTTTTGTATTTACTTATATTATATGATATTAAATATATGATTCACTATTCTAATGTTCCCTCGTGCTTGCAAGAGAAACAATCTGGCGAACTTGTGGGTGTGCAGCGCTTACCAGATGTTGGTAAATATACAACAAAAGAAACAATTGCTTCTCAGAGATGAATAGTTATGCCCACTTTCTTAAAACACAAAAATCACTGCGACAGAGTTGATTCCAACTGAAAATTACCCCCATAGGGCTAGATGGAATAGGTCCTTTGGGTTTTTGAGACTAAATCTTTATGGAAGTAGACAGTGTCATTTTTCTCCCACGGAGTGGCTGGTGGGTTTGAACTACTGACCTTGCAGTTGGCAGTCAATGTGTAGCCCACTCCACCACCAAGGCTTCTACACCCACTTTCTACTAGTAAATATAAATACAACTGGGAGGAAAACAAAAAGTCTCCAAGCACCGTTCTTCAAATAATTTTGAAAGTCCAACTAATAAAAGTTCTGAATAGTAATAACATTTTTAAAGAAACCGGTTTGAACTAATATTTACATTACTCTTTAGTCATCCTTGTGCCCGGTACAAAGCGAACGCTGAATGACTGTCGGCTAGAATCTGGCCATTAAAAGTCTGTGGTGCATTAATACTAATTTGAAAGACTGTCAAACTTTGTCACTAGAAGTACGAGTTATGGTAACTCAGAGGGAGCGGGTCCAAGACGTGGATGCCTCTCCCTGCCGGCAATCGGAACAGCAAGGAGGGCTCTGCAGGTGGAGAGCCCCCTGCCCAGTGACCCTTAACAAAGGCTGCAGCTGTGGGAAACTGCCCCAGTGGAGCCTGGGCCTCCCCACAACCAGCCGTTAGTGACACAGCACTGGGGCTTTGGCTGCCACAGCCGCCATCACTCAAAGAGCCCAGGAAAACAGAACACTTCTGCAACTACTGCAATCCAGTCAGTTTGATTGGAAGACTTCGGGGAGATTAGTCAAAAGAAGTTACAGGAAAATTTAAGTTTAGAGTAATGTGCCTGCAGGGGAAAGGTGGAATTATTACCAGAGACTATTCTGGTTTCATTCAACAACTTATGAAGTTACTAAGACATTTCAAATAGTCCAACCAAAGGCAAGCAATGTGTAAGTTAGTCACCAAAATGATCAGGGCAATAAGGAGTTTTCAGAAAAATGCTTTCAGTGATCATGAACAGCAGCCAACAGTCAACATTACCCCAGGGGTGATAATGACGAGTGGTCAGCCACAAGAGATCCTGAGTGTCTGAGTGCTTGTACTTACCTTGTCTAGTGTCATATCTGGTAGCTCATCTGCAAGTTCACTCGGGGAGCTGTTTGCACTGGAATGTGCAGCGGCTGGAATTGAAGGTTCATAGCCATAGAATGCCAGTAACTCTTCCAGAGGCATGCTCCCTTCCTATGCGAGCCAGGGAACAAACAGACTCAGTGAGGTCCTGATGCTGGGAAGGCACTGAGCAAAACAGCAGTCCCAATCAAGGTCAAGTTACAGTTTCTCAGTCTAGTTCGTCCAGAAAATAGGAGGACCTGGGGCAATACTAACAGATTAACAAAAGCCTAACAAGTAGCTTTTCTTTTCCTGTGTCATCTTACCTTTTAAAAAATTCTCTCCGATAAATATTTGCTTTTATGCAAATTTTTAAAAATTATATTAGCATAAAGATTTGCTGTGAAAATATTTCCACTTAATCATTTCAGGTAATTTTCAGCATGTTTCCTTTAGTTAACAGCTGACCACTGTTTTTTACACCAAATCACTTAGAAGATTTCTAAATAAAACCTTTACAGAGTATGTACTAATGCCAAAAATATTTGTCTAGTAGTGATCAAAAACACAACTGTCCCTTGTGTAGTTGTACTACTGTTATATCTCATACCAGTTTTTGTCTCTTATTTGCCCACAATTGTCTCAAGTTTAAATGAGATGACCACCATCTTTTTTCTGGAGAAAATGGAAACTTGGTTCTGTGTTCCAGTCCCAGGCCCCGCTACTCTCACTGGCTGCACTGCCCTGATGAAATGGCACAAGTCCGCGGGAGGGCTGCCTGCTTGTTTATACATGTGTATGTATACACATTTGTACAGGTGTATGCCGTGCCATACAGTGATGCCAACTCACTGCTCATTCCCTCCCTCCCCTCCCTTTTTGGACTGCTTAGCAAATAAAAACAGCTTAGAATGAACATTACTTGCAATTTTTAAAGTTCCAAATTTCCTTTTTTAAATAGTTTAATTCAACTACTAACAAGCATAGAAATATTTATAATTGTCACTGAAATAAGTAACTCCAAAACAATAAACTCAAAGATCAGCTAACCTGCTAATTTTTTTAAGGTGTTTTGTTTCCAGCTATTAAGGGACATTTTTTAAGTTTGCATATTGGTTTACCCTCACTTTCAAGGCAAAGTAAGTCAGGAAGCAATCAGCATGCCAGTGCTACAGAAGTATGTGTGAGAGCCACCCACAGGGGACCCACCACGTAGAGAAGGAGCCAGCGATGGCTCAGCGAGAGCCAGCTGGCTGCCCCGAGGGCCTGCCGGGGCACAGGCTGAGGGACCTCCAAACCTGGTCTTTAGCTATGCAGGTGTGGGCCTCAAAAAATTCACTGTGTCCAGCTGAATCATGTATGTTCATGGAATTTCAATGAAAGTTTACAAATGAAGGCTAATTTGTAAATCTGCAGTAGCCAAAAACACCTTTCTAATGACCATAAACAATCACTGCACTCAAAGAACACAGAGCAACACAAATTAAGTTGGAAGCTCACCACACCATGGGCCAGTCTCATGAATGACTATTCTCCCAAACCAAGAACCCACCAACGTGGCCAACTCAGCCTACTGCGGCCCTA